GCCAATAGAGTCGGCTTCTACTTCTTGAGCCATTCGCTTTTCGTAAAAGCAGCGGACCTTGCGTTCATCGTCGATTTCGAAGAGCTTCTGAGAACCCGTCGCCGGGTTCGAGACGTTCAACTGTGGACATCGAAAGGAACATTTGAAACGCAACGTAAACGAACCGTATATCTTCTTGATCTCACCTTCATGGCTACTCCTCACTAGGTGGTGTCGGAACGAAAAAGCACAAAGAAAAATGTGAACAAACGTCTGAAATTGAACAAGCAGCTGTAAGGACATTGACGTGATTCCACACAATCTCGTTTCACAGATACAGAAAGCGATTCCCAATCAAGTGCTCGGCGTGCGGCAAATACAATTGCATTTCATCCACAATCTAGAGTTCACTTGGAGGAAACAGAGGTCTTGGACTCCCTAGTTGAGGCAGACCGACGCCTACTCTTCTCCAACTTCTTCTTTTCGGCAGCTTCCTTCTGACGAACAGCGAGAACCTTGGCGTATTCCGCAGCCTGGTCTTTCCTTCGCACCTCTCGCTTCTTCTTCTCAGCCTTTCTCTGCCTCTTGTGCTACTCAAAAGAAACATTCCCAGATTAGTACGGTAGCAAAATTACATGAATCACACACATTCTTTCAATTTTGGCATTCATAATAGAAACGAGTAAAATTTGAATCAAGTGGTTTCACCTGAAGGACGAGAGGAGTAACGAGACGCTGGATCTTCGGAGACTTGAAACTAGGCTTCTTGCCATCTTTCACTGGCAAAGGACGCTTGATCACGTATTGACGAACGTCGTCTTTCTTCGTCAAGTTGAACAGTTTGCGGATCTTGCTTGCTCTTTTGGGACCAAGACGACGAGGCACATTCACGTCAGTCAATCCAGCAATTTCCTAAAGAAAAAAAAAATGAAAACTCACATGATAGTTGAAAATTGAAGGGAAAGTCATTAACAGTGACAATCATTGAAAAATGGTTTCGGTTGAATCTTAGTCCAAGCTTCCGAAATATAGCAGTTCTACGCTACGAATTTTCAACCTTTCGAACGATAGAAATACTTAAAACCAACTGCAGCCCAGCAACAATACCACTAGCCATCGACGGTTCCTGAGCTCGTACTTTTATCGTAAAGATCGTGATTAGGTCTAAATATTGAACCATGTGGTTTCCGCACGCACAAATCCTTCGAACCACAAACCTGTTCGCCTTTCTTGATGATCGCCAAACTCAGCACAGACATATTGGCGTCGACAATGCATCCGCGGACGGATTTCCGTTTCCGTTCACCATTGCGACGCGGCCGGTAGCAGGAATGGCCCTTCTTCATCAGAAGACGAACTCGCTGGTTGGTCAACACGCCTTGCTTCATGGGGAAGCCTTGTTTGTCATTGCCGCCGGTGATGCGGAACACGTAGCCCTTCCACTCATCGCCAATAGAGTCGGCTTCTACTTCTTGAGCCATTCGCTTTTCGTAAAAGCAGCGGACCTTGCGTTCATCGTCGATTTCGAAGAGCTTCTGAGAACC